GGACAATTGCCTAATAATTTAGTGAGCGATCGTCAAGGACTTTCTTGATCAGCATAACGACTACTTCCTGCTCTTTGGTAAATGATATCTTTCAGGCGAGATTTTCAGCACGCATATATATTATTGACGTTAAAACTGAGCGAACGTCTGAACTGAACTGTTTGAAAATAAAATCTTCTATAAATGAAACCCTTTGCCTCAGCAAACGGTTATGATAAAACGATATATGGTTAATAATAGTGTGATGGAGGATGACAACAGCGTGATGTAATAGATTTGACAGAATTTGGAAGAAAGCAAAGTCTTCAGGACTACCATAATAAGGACGCATAGCAGAACTATTACGGAGGAAGAAAATTAAAAGATTAACTAAACGGAGAACTGGAACCGATGAGGAATCTTTCCTTCCCCGGAATCTTATATTAATTGTTTAACTTATTAAAATTAGCAAAGTCGTGTAAAACAAGAAGTACAGTACAGCAACAGTAATATGAAGTGACCATAATCAATTTAGGGACTTATTAATATTTCGATAAGAATACGTTTCCTGCCTTGCTCAACGAGACCAGGAGAAAAATCAATCTGATCAAAAATCCGATGATTTTGTACTCATGGCAAAGGTCAATCATTGTGTTTTGGAAAGAAATAGAATGCTGCTAAAGCTGATAAAGAAGTTAGGGTGTTTCGGCATAGCATTCGCGAGTGATAGCAGGCAGAATACCGATGGACCAGACGAGTACTGTAGCGCGAGATTTAAACCGGTCTGTGGTGGTGACAAAGAAGGGACTGAACGGTAGTACGAAACTACTAGGTCTTCAAGTACGTTTGCAGATTTTATGCTCACCTATGGTCATGAATGCAGGATATTCATCAGAAGGAAGAAACTGTTTATATAACGAGATTAATCGAAGAATTATTGATGCAGCAGTGCTTCAAAAAATTTAAAACATAGTAGTTAACAGATGCTTGTTTCTGAACCGCTCCTCCTTCAAATAGAAGGATCACAATTGCACTGCACTATAATGCACCCATTCAGGATGCCAAAGAAAACAGTCGTAAGGCAAACTATTTTCTAAAAGCTATGGCAAGTGGCCAAGAAATGTATCAGGAACGAGATTCCTCAACTATATTGAGCATATGATACTGTAATGCCTTGGAATCGAAGGTTTATGACGCTCACGTGCAGCCGTTTGGGCGCAGACCACTGATTGGTGTTAGCGCCTGGTCTTATGGTTGCCGCATTGAATCTGTACAAGTGGACAGTAGTCAGCTGCATCAACTACGTGATTCAGCCCATCATGTTATATATCGAAGGGTAGCTCTCTATGACTGAAGTATACGATGCCGTCATCAAACAGTGAATGTCATGTGACTATCATTTCATTTCATGCCTACATCGTAAGTCAGCGTGCTGTTATTTGATCAGGTATCAGAATTTATATAATAGCAGGGGGCCACCTGTAGCAATTGCTTAATTTAATCCCTCGTTCTATACATAGTTAATAAGCTCTCGGTGAGCACAGTATGAAACTTTTGTCATAACTATCAATCCCAAAGTTGGCATCTTCGTCTGACGATTTCATACGGGTAGACCATCGCCGCCTTCGAGATGGAAAGAAGCCAGTCTAAGACTCCTGGAGGACAAGCCTGGTCACCTTCTCACCGAAGATGAGGACATACTGAGCAATGGATAGACTATCTTGAGGAATTTGTCAGCTCTGAACAAGTTCAAGGAGACTCGCCTAAATAGCATCAGAGAGTGGAAGTGGACATTATTCTTGTGGTAGATGATGAGCTACATCTGAAAACAGCCTGAAAAGTGGCAAGACAGTTCAAATCGATGAAATCCTGCTTGAGATGTCTATAGCTTTAGAAGAATAAAGTGTGCTGTATCTGACACATGTCTGCCAAACTGCAAAAGTTACGGATAAGACACTGGTGGATTGGACAACTCGAGTGGTAGTACTCCTGTTCATCAATGGAGATCATTGGGAGTGCTCTAGTTTTTCCGGCATTATCTCGTTGAACCTCCCAAGAAACGTTTGTGCAAAAGTGTTAATATGGAGATGCCGCGGAATAACTGGTTCTAAAATCCAAGGAAAGCAGGGTGGCTCCATGTCAGGCCAAAACACCTCTTACCAGATCATTGCCTTGCGCCGGGTTGTTAAGAAATCGTGGGAGTTCGCTCATACCATTTACATGTGCTTTGATAGCGTAGAGGAAGTGAATAAGCGGATTCCTCTGAACAAGCTCTGAA